GAGCCCAAGATGCCTTATTCAACAAAGTCTTTTGATCTTCCTGGCAAAACTATTGGAATCATGCAACCTTATAATCAGGTTTGGGTGTATCATTCCCATGTTCCTTTTTCTTTTTGGATTCCTTATGTGCACTGCCAAGTTTACGCACCAGTGGAAGAGAACAGGCTTTGAAGAGCAAGAGGGTCTGGATTAAAATCTCGTCTCCACTATTTGCTGGTAGATCTTCGTTAAGTCTGTTCAGCTACTAAAGACTATTTTCTCCTCTGTAAAGTGGTCATAATCATAGGGAAATCGGCGAACTAAAGTGTGTAAAGGATTTGGCACAGTGTCAATCTCATGGTAATTGCTTACTTGATAGAGTGGTTCTCTAGGGATGATCCCTCCACCAGCAGCATCCGCAATCTATCTTAAGTCCTCCCGATGATACTGCTGCATGCTCAAGTTTGAGAACCGCAGGCTTAATACGTGGTAACTATTGCCAGTCCGTACTTGAGGCTGCAGAGATAAGCAGCGAGCAGATGATGAAAGGTTTGACAGGTTAAGGAATAAGCTCTAAATTGCCAGTAGGTAAAGGTTGGGTACCGCCTCAATCCTCACGCTCCCCTCCCTCTCATCAGGGTTTAAGCGCTCGCAGATTGGTGGAGTCTCTTGTCGTTCTCCACCCATCCAACCACGAAGAGCGAAAACAAAGAGGCGGGACCGGGCGAGGCGAGAGCTGTGCGCCTATTGGCTGTACACCACGCCGTTGCGGGGACGGGACTGCGCATGCGCAAAGCTGAAGTGCGCCACGGGCGGCCGTTGAAAAATGGCGTCTGTCACCGAGTTGAAGGCCGGTGAGTGCAAGAATGAGGGGTTGCCAGGTGGGAAGCATCGGGTCTTCTCGAGAGAACAGGAGGAGAGCGCGCAGTACATAAGGACCTGGATTTCCGGAGTCGCTCTGCGGTTTGAGAGGCTGCAGGGAGCGTCCGGCTGGTGGGGCTATCTCTGCTCAGGGGCGGTTTTAAACAGGTTTTGAGATAGAGGAGGAGTCGCCGAATCTGCAGGCACCTGAGAGGTCTACAGGGCTGCCCCTTGGGCCTCTGGCACGTATTTCTGGACCCCACGGGGGAGGGGGCAGGCCTTCCACTCCGGGCTGCTGATAACCTTACCCACAATGTTGCTAGGCACAATCCTAAGCGATTTTCTTAGATGTCGCGTTGAATCCTTGCAACAGTCCCAGAAGTAGGTTCTTCCTTTTCATCGGGAGAAACTAGAGGCAGAAGGTTGCCTGGTCTGGCCATTCTCTTTTCGTTTTCGGAAAAAAATTCCTCAAAGGTGGTTATATGAAAATCGTTAGTAACATGTGTGCACTGTTAACTTTGAAGAAGATGTCCAAACAAGTACCAGTAATTATAATTAAGGTGATTGGGCCTTTATGTGTCAGGTACTACTCAGCCCTTATTTTGTTTAATTGATTCCATGTAACAACCCTATGCCCATTTCATAGATTGGGAAACTGAGGTGCTGAGAGGTATAATAGCTCTCCCAAAGTAATGTAGGTAGAAAGAGGCAGAGTGTGGGAACCTGGATACGATGCACCAGAGCACCAAGTCTTGATGACTGAACAATACTGACGCCCAATATATGAAACCAGCTCCAAGTTTCTGGAAACTCAAGGTTTAAACCAGTAATTTTTAGAGATTTGTGAGGGAGGCAGTTAACTGTCTTTGAAAATATGGTTCAGTAGCCATGGGTATAAATTTGTATTTGAGACACTGAACTGGTGAACAGTCATAAAATAGGCATACCTTTGTCCACAAGAACAGACTTTATATGAACCTATGGACCCTTTCATCAGGGAAATACACACTTCACATGTAATAGTGCATACAATTTCAGAGGGGCTAAAGATATTCTGTGGGATATAAGCGGGGTTAAGACCTCTGAAGAAATTTTTATGGTCCAGTGTTCTAAGCATAATAGAGAAAAGGGTAAAATGATAACGGAACCCCAGAAGATTATGGGGATGATGGGATCGATCCTACACAGACTTGGGGGGCCCTTCATACTTATATCCTATATTTCCCAATTCTGAATGTGCTCTGTGTCCAAGAGAACCTCGACAAAAACTTGTTTGTAAGCTAATTATTTTACATTTTATGGGCTTTTACCTTTTGTATGCAATCACATTTTCCCACCTCACTTGGTTCTGTTTCTGAGAGAGAGAACCCATTATTTTGGAGAAGGCAACTGAGGCATGGGCGGATGATTCACCATTGAAGGGGATGAATACTAGGCCTCCTAATTCCAGTGTCATTAATTCTAATTTTTTCTGCTTAGTTTCTGTATGGTACAGTGTATAATACAGAGTAATTGGGACAGGATCCTTGTCAGTGATAAAAAGATTCTCCATGTGGGCGGCACCTGTGGCTCAAAGGAGTAGGGCACTAGCCCCATATGCTGGAGGTGGTGGGTTCAAACCCAGCCCCGGCCAAAAACTGCAAAAAATAAATAAATAAATAAAATCTCCATGTAATTTCCAAAGATGGAATTAGAGAGCAGGGGTTCAATTATGATCCTCAGAGTGTGATAAGGCTGTTATAAAGCCCTTTTATGGGCCTAGTAGAAAGTCTGGTTGAGTGATAAATGTACTTAAACCTGCAAAAAGGTTGAGGAGATGATTTAAAACTAAGAGAAGAAAAAGGTAAAAAATCTAGTAAAGGTTTTCTTTCTTTAATAACATGAGCCGGGATATTTTGGTTGTTGTTATTTATCACAGCTTAAGTAAAATTTATGTCCATAATTATGTGAATGAGCATTCTGAGCTCCCTTTATGAATTTTCATCATTGTGGTGTACTTATCTGGTGCCTTCGGTTGAGTGCTGTACGGTATTAAACTACATTTATTTCACCAGTAGTATATAGCACTGTATTATAATGCTCGTAGGTAACATTGAACTGTTACGTTCTAGGCTTTGTGGGTGAGGCTGTTGATTCTCTGGATTTGTCAGTTAGCCAGTAGGGAACATTTTTTAAAAGGAAGCTCCAGACTGACTACAAGAGATGGTGCCACTTCAGTCCCAACCTCTTCATTATCTATACTGAGTATTTATACCTAAATCCCATTATTGCAGCTACTGATCTATGTCTTGGTGACCCTGGCTAGTTAAGAAGTTAGGTCGCAGTCAACATGTACATGCATGACTCCTTAAGATGGCAAAGACATAGTTGTGCTAGGTTTCTGACAAGGCTTAAAATTCTAAAATTCTACTGTTTTATAAAGTTTAAAGACTTAACAATTGTCTTTATAAAAACAAAAAATCAAAACACATTTTCATTCAGAATAGGTCATTTTATAAGAGTTCTAGATATCAAAGGTTTTTATACAAAAAAAAAAAAAAAAACCAAGACATACTCCTTTCATGGAATGTAGTTGTTTTCTTAAATTATCTTTCTAGACGGATGTTATTAGTGACACACACAACTTGTCTGCAATGGCAAAAACTCTTGAAAATACTGTATATGGGAGACTGGGGGGATGAGGAGGTAAGTTCAGGTCCCAGTGAGCGAACTACAATTCAATCAGTACACTGAAGATTATGTATTAGACCACATCCCCTGGCAAAGATGATGTTGTAAGGATAAACTTGAATTTGCTTAAATATATCAAGAGTAAATCATTGCAATTTGGGAATTTTTTTATTACAAACATAGCTAATGGTAGTTTAATTGTTCAGTTTGTTACATGTTTAGATTAAGAGCTGCTATTGTACCATTTACTTTTTTTTTTATTAAATCATAGCTGTGTACATTAATGCAATCATGGGTTACAGTGTGGTGTTTTCATATACAATTTGAAATATTCTCATCAAACTGGTTAATGTAGCCTTTGTGTCATTTTCTTAG